CATTTAATTTCCCTCTGGGATTAATAAAGCATTTTTGAATTGACTTTGTTACTAGAAATTAGAGATGCTTATAAATTTTTTTATTATTAAATTATCTGTAAAAGTCTTGCTTGCATACAAACGGAACACAACCATACTKATTTTCTTCACAAAAGGAACCTAAATGGATAGTTTCACGCTTTGGGCTCACCCATGGAAGCGTACGCTCTGGCTGTGGCATCAGCCAGCTCTCCATGCAGAGGATGCGTCTCTCCAAGGATCCATCCAGACCGACATTTTGTCTTTTTCAGTAGTCTCAGAGCCTCATCTGGAAGAGAAGGTTAGAAAAGTAAACACAATAAAGATTCATAATTGCTTGGATGTATTGCTTTAGTAATATGGATGGATGCAGTTTTCCACCTGGCTTTTCTGTCTCCATGAGCTCTACCGCTCTCTCCAGAGCAACCCTGACCTCCTGCAGCTCGTGGCTCACTTCTGCTAAAGACATGCGATGACCGCAGGCTGGCTGCTGACATGTAAAATCACCTCTGCTTTCACAGACTCTCTGAAAAAAAAAAACAGAAGAAATTTTAAATGATTTGAAAGAATATGTCAACAGGGAGGTACACATAAAACTACAGAATAAATCTATTAAAGGCACAGTGTGTAGGATTTTGTCAAGTGTTTTAGCCGAAATTGAGATAATCATTAATGACAATAATAAAAAAAAACATGTCTAATCATTGCAGACAAAGACCTTGTTTTATTATTTTTACCTTATAAAAAGAGAGGCAGGGAGGATGATTCAACCTCTCAACCACTAGATGTCGCTGAAAACAACAAATCCTACACACTGTGCCTTTAAATGCGACTGATCACACACCTCGAGAGCTTTTTTGCACTTTAAACACAGCAGTCCAGATCCATCCCTGCTGCCCCTGGTACTGTCCCACTGCTGCTGCCCCTCCTGCACGCTGCAGGCCTCACACTCGCACAGGAAGTAGTACTGCTCCTGCAGGAGGCGCTGGCGTTCTTTGGTCACCATCCTACTGCRGTGAGGACCTGAGAAAAAGACGGCTTTTATACAAGACGCTGGGGTCGACTTTATTTTAGCAGAAAACACAAGATAGTATTTGAGCACATAACAAATGATATCTAGAAARGAGTGACTTAAAGCAAACCATCTGCTTGCAGAAATTTGTCACAAATATATAAAATATTTGTTTCTTGTCTCACCATAACAGTGTAGGATTTCCTGTCCAGGAGTAATATCCCTCGCTGCTCTGATCGTCACTATGACCCCATGAGCCTCGTGCTCGTCCTCAGGAAGACCTTCACCGATTTCTGCAGATTCGTGTGGACCACGGGGATCAGCAGCGGCTCCGGTGCTGAACACCAGGCTGGTATTGGGACAGCAGGAGTGATTGAGAAGGCTGAGAGTTGGAAACATGGCTGTGGCGAGACGCAGCTCCTCTCTGGACTGCACGTGGGAGTTCTCTGCTCCTGATGAGATGCAAAGAAACACAAACTCAAGAGTCGTCTCTCTTTTTTTTACATAACTAAGGATGTTATTGTCAAAAAAAAAACTACTCTAACACGGTATTAAGTATGACATGGTAATAATTATGGGATAAATCTTTTGCCAAAGTATGTGCATAATTTGAAATTGAATGCATTGGTTTGATCACATATTGATCAGATGCTGCTGCTGACTGATTCATGATGTGATGTAACTGTAACATTTTCGACATATAGGTAAAATTAATCCC